CCACGCGCGCGCGCGCGATGATGGACACAAAAACACGGGGGCGCCGGTGCGACCCCATCGCAACAAGGTCCCTGTGCGATCGCACCAGCGCCCCCGTGTTTTTTCTGCACTAGGACCGACATATCGCCCCTCGACGCGTCGAAATGGCCCGGATCCAGAGGCCCCGTTCGCCCCGAAATCGTGCTCGTTTCTCGAGATCGAGAGCGGCGCGTCGAAGATCGCCCACCGGCGCGGCGCGAGCTCGAAGGGCGCCGGGGCGCCCGGCGGACCGAGCCGCCGAACGCGGCCGTCAAAGTCGGGCGCTGCCCATCGGATCGGCTTCCCAGTGCACTGGAGCCCCTGGGGAACTTTAGACCTGTGGAATTAGAATAGATTAGGAATGCCTACTGTTTCCAGTGGCGACACAACCGACGCCTAGACACGCCCGTACGAAATAAGAAAATAATATTTAATAATTAAATCTGGCCAGCGGCCGGAGGGACGTGTACGACACCTCCTGAAAATTTGCCGCGCGCGCGTGCGCGCGCGGGTCTAGTGCGGGTTGAAAGTCAACTCAGTTTCGCGAAAAACGATCCTCACGCCCGAGTGTCTCAAAATGTACGACGCTACCGCACTCACAACGCCAGCCCCGGCGAAAGGACCCCACTTTCGAGCGGTTTACGACCCCCTACTTCAACTTCTATGTTGAACTTGGCAACTAACCAAGCTGAACTTCAAGATACAAAACCCCAGGCCTTTCGTTTCAAGGGTTGGTTTCGCGCACTGACTGTTTCCGTCCACTTGGCCTTTCGGGTCTCCACTAACGCCTCCACTAGCCTGAGCTAAAGGAAGCAGAGTAAGCTCCTCCCTCAAGGGGGATGCTGAGCTCAGTTCAGTTAAGAGTGCCAGAATGAAGGCAGATCAGAGTGAGACTGCGTTACGGGTATCCTAGGCGTATCCTGGCTCCTCTGCTCCCCCGCCGCGGCCGGAAAGGCGGAGCGGGGACTGCGAAGCCAGGCCGGGGAATGAGAGTGTGCACGCCGCAGCGTGCAGGGAGGCGGGCGGGTGCCACGGCACCGCGCCGGGGAGGAACGGCGGTGCGGCGTGCCCTGCGGGCACGCCGTGTTGAGCCTGAAGAGCGGGAACCGGCGTAGAACCCCGCAGGGTTGTCGCTGTTCCGGGCGTAGGGAGGAAGTAGGCGCGGGCTCCGGCGGGCGACCCCGCGGGGTCGCCCGCGGCCTCAGGCGCGGGAGTGTTGTGCACGCCGCGGCGTGCAGGGAGGCGGGCGGGAGGAGCGGCCCGTTGGCCAGGTTGGCTCGGTAGGGTCGCGGGCCGCCAGGCCTAGGCGAGAGGAAGGTCGACGAGCTCGTTCCTGTCGTTGACGCGGAGCCCGGCGATCATTGCGAGCGAGCGCCGGAAGCGATCCTCGTCTTCGGCGGCAGTGAGAGTGTTCGCCGGGTTGAACTTCGATGGGACGTGGTGGAGGATGAGCTCGCCGGAGTCGAGCGCGTCGTAGAGGAAGCCGAGCTGGCACCGAATGTGCCGCGCCCGGGCGGAAAGGTCGCGTCCGCGAAGGAAGAGTATTGCCGACTCGTTGTCGCAGTAGACGTGCGACGGCCGGAGGCTGCGCTTGAGCATGAAGGATGCGAGAGAGCGCATGCTTAGGAGCACGCGGACGAGCACGACCAGGGCGTACAGCTCGGCCTCGAAGGTCGAGATCGCTGTTGCGTACTGGACCGACGACCACGCGCAGACGGACGCGCCGCATGCGAAGATGTAGCCGCCGGAGCGCGAGCGGCAGACGCCGGACGCCGTGCGGTGGATCTCGCGTCCGTGCGAGGCGTCCATTGAGGTCGTCGATAACGCCGGCCTGGTGGCGTGGCGTGCCGATGACGAGGAGGTCGTCGACGTACGCGAGCACGTAGACGACGCCCTGATTGAACGCCTTGCAGAACAGGCAGCGGTCGACGGGGTGCCGCTGGAACCCCATGACGTCGAGCACCTGGTGCGAGAGGAGCTCGAACCAGGCTCGGCCCGCGTCCTCCATGCCGTAGATGTTTTTGTCGGCGCGCAGGACGTACTTGCCGGGATCGAAAGTGGGCAGGCCGGCGGCCCGGAGGTAGTCGTCGAACCCGGTGGGGTACCGGAGGTAGAAGCGGCTCGTCGGCGGAGCGAGCATGTACGCGCCTGTGATGTCGAACTGCGAGACGGCCAGGCTGTGCTGTGCTGCCATGGCGAGAGCCATGAAGAGGGTGCTGGGCAGACAGGTCGGAGACGAGCTGCCGGGGTCGCGGAGTTCGCCGGCCTTGCGCGCGCCGTTGGCGCACCACCGGGCTTTGTAGCGCCCGTCGCGTTTGACGCGGCACACGCACAGCGAGTCGTAGATGCGCGCGTTGGCCGGCAGCTCTGAGAGAGCGACCCGTGTGAGCGCGGCGGCGCCGTCCCGGAACGTCTCTGCGAGGTCGAGCCGCTCCTTGTGGAACGCGGGCACCCACTTGCCGCGGTCCGGCCCTTGCAGGGCCTGACGGAGCGTCATGTCGCCGTCGATGGTGTGGTCGCCGGGGTAGGTCGGGGGCGGCGCCTGGCGGCGCGGCTCGTGGAGGTGCTGCATGTCGGGAGCGTGGAGCTCCGTGTCGATGGGATCGTAGACCGTCGTGCGCGGCACGGCGCTGGCGGCGAGGCCGTGCGCCGCGTGCTCGGCCGCGAAGGAGAGCACCGTGGGCATGGCGTAGCTGCACAGGGACGGCATGAGCGGCGACATCTCGTGCCCGGCTGACGCGATGAGGGCGAGCGCCATCACCGGGAGGAGTGCGAGGCCGCTGAGGCGGCCGGCCACGGCGCTCGAGGCGGCGGAGTCGCGCCAGTTCCGGTGCGACGCGCCGATGTCGCTGCCCATGTCGAGGTGCGTGCGGCGTTTGCGGCTTCGCCGCGGGGGCTCGTCGTCGGGCGGCTCCCCCGGAGGCGGACTGCCGTCGGCGGGCTCCCCCGCGAGCGCGGGGCCGTGCTCC